AAAACGACCGGTCGTCACTGTTCACGACCGGTCGCACTGTTCATTTCACTGTTCACAGGTGATAAAATGGTGATAGAAAATGCTGTTTGTGTTTTTCTTTAGTTTTCTTGTGTTGTTTCATTTCTTTTACACTTCTTTACTTATTTTTAGTTTCCATTTTGCATTTGTGCATTTGTGGTGTGTCAAGTAAGTGTTCTTTACGTACTCAAATTAGAACTTATAGGAAGCCGACAAGTTCTTCGTGGGATCGACCCCGTACTTACATAATCTATACTTCATTAGATTCGTGCACTTGCGGGTATTTTTAATTGGTTGTTTGCACATTAATTTGTGTCCTTTTAGGAATGCAACACCAGCAAAGCAAGAAGCCCCTGAAATTTGTGCGTTCGAACCTCTGCTTTGTGTGTTTAATTTTGGGAATTGAAGAAATAGTGGAAGAAGTTTAGGGATTCTGATATTTGGGTTTGAATTTGAAATGTGACAATGAGTTTCTGAAGAGAGAATGAAGAGGCGCGACTATTTTGGACCAAAGTAAAAAAATACCGCGCACGGCTCTAGTCTAAATAGTTGATGGTTTTGTTATAACGTCAAGTATAGATAAGCGTAACTTGACGTTTTTCTCATAAACGTCAAATGTGGATAGTGTAAGTTGACGTTCTCTAATAAATGTCACCGTAACGTGATGTATAATTGACGTTTTTTAAAAAGCGTCAAGGCAGCACAACAAAGTTGATGGTTTTAACAAAAACGTCAAGAATGAAGTGTCAAGAAAGGCATGTTTTCTTGTAGTGCTAAGGTTCAGCTTCGTCGAATTCGTAGTAAATCCTTTCTTCCAAGAAACCGAAGTCTGCTAGTCTGATTGAATTAATTGGCAAATGCAATTGCAATTATGAACTCTTAATCAAATTTTATTAATTACTTTTTGTTGAATTCGGTGTCATTTTTAGTCAATTAATTAGCAAATTATGCTTGAAATCTTTTGTGCTTTTTGTGATTGTAGTATACTAGTATGCATCTGATCATCCGCTTGTTTGGAAAAGTTGCTAAGTTGACTATTGGTAATTAACTAATACTTTGCTTTGAGAGGACGAATTTATTATAAAAATACTCTAGGAAGTCCAGATCTACTGTTGGTGCTATAACTTAACATTTCTTATCCGAGTCTAGAATAAAAATAATGCTGGGTGTTACACGTGATTTATTATTTTTAAGGTGTTAGTCAATTATATTATATGATTTCTTGGTCTTTCATATGTGTTTATAATTCATATGGGTTGCTGCAGGCACAAGTCTTGCTGCCAATTGCCTCTCATTAAGTAGCAGGATGAGTTTTTTTTTTGTTTGGGTGTTTGGGGGGGTGGGTGGTTTGGGGGGGGGTGGGCAGGGTAGCAGGAGTTTATAATTCATATGGGTTGCTGCAGGCACAAGTCTTGCTGCCAATTGCCTCTCATTAAGTAGCAGGATGAGTTTTTTTTTTGTTTGGGTGTTTGGGGGGGTGGGTGGTTTGGGGGGTGGTGGGCAGGGTAGCAGGATGAGTTGCTAAGTTGACTTGGTTTGCTTTGATTTAGAGTGCTGCAAAATGAACCCTAAAATTAACTAAGTACACTCTACTAACAAACTACTTATTGAATTACTAATTTATCCTAATATAAAATGACCAAAAAGGATATATTGAATTGTGAAACAAATATAATTTTAATAAGTACACCCCATTCACAATATTCAATCCTAATCAAATATAGAGAAGTTTTCATACAACGAACAACCCAGCGAACATTGACGGAGGCGCAACTACATATTTGCAAGTAGGATGACTGGAATAAAAGAGAATGAAAAATTCCAAAAGAATGACCACAACATTGAGCAAGTCTCCGGTCTGAAACATGTTGTGGATGAAGCCACGCAACATCAAAATGTGAAGTAACTGGTCCTAGTAAATTTGTAACTTTCTCGGACTAGCGGCGAGTGCCATGGAACTACCAGCTGTTCTTTTATAATGGTTTTACATATAATTTGTTTATCTACTTTAGACACAGCAAGATATTGTTGGGATTTAAAAATCCATAATTTTGTGTCCTTAAAAATGGTAGGTCATAGTAGAGATCCCTTGAAGAAATATTTATTACGATATTCAGAATTATAACACGAACGTGGGTGCTTATTTAGAAATTAATTACAGATATATGTGATGTCGAAGAGTTATACAGAGTATTAGGATTGTGTGATAGAGTGTATTAGGATGTACTAGGGGTATTTTTGGTAGTTAAATGTGGTATACTTAGTTAATTTTATATTTTGATTAAAATATTAGGATGTACTTAGATGATAGGGTGTACTCGGTTAATTTTAGGGTTCGTTCTTAATTTATTTTTTATCTTGAGGGGAAGTTTATTATAGATTATTGTTTTAATATGAAATTTATTATAGATTACTGTTTTCCCTTCCAACTATCATGTTTAAGGTCTTAGTCAATTCGCAACCTGCAAATTACGTTTGAAATCTTAATTATTTGCTTTTTGTCTTCTTTGGTGTTCCTAGGATGCCTATCAATGTTTTCTTAGCCCCACATTAATTAATGGAAATATCAACATAGAAAAATCAAATCTGGACTCGTAGTATCATCAAACATTCAAAACATTACAGCAGTGAGAGTAATTTAGCACACTTTTATGATCTCACAAGGCACCAATTCAAACTAATCAATTAGATATCATTCGAATAGTCTCATT